AATGTAAAAACCATTATAGGATCATACCAAGCATCATTACTTGACAAACTGAAGGTAGAAATTGCGGAAAAATGGCCACATTTTCAGAAAAAGAAAACCCTGTTTCACCATGACAACGCGCCGTCTCACATCTCAGCGGTTGCCATGGCGATTCGAAGATACACAAATTACGATTTGAATTGCATGACCATCTGCTTTACTCACCAGATCTAGCCCCAAGCTTATTTATGTTCTCTCATCTATAAATTGCACTCGGAGGACAGATGACCCGCCCATTTCATGAAAATATCATGAAATGGGCAGGCAACCACTTCGTGAACAATTATTTTGCAGAGTAAAACGCCGAGTACTATTTGGACGGGTTAGAGAGATAGGAGCATCGCTGGGAGAAGTGTTTGGAGTTACAAGGAGACTATATAGAAAAATAAAAATTAATTTTTAGAAAAATGTCTTGTATCTTTGTTAGGTCGGATACATTTCAGGCTATCCTCGTATTTAAATTTCTTTTTACTTTACTTGCGCGAATGTTTACGCAAACCCCCTCCGAGTTTACAATTTTCAGCTCTATTTCTCGACAGCAGAATGACTGTATTAGGGCTATTATGTTTTTAATGATTGGTATATTATTTACATATACCTAATTTATAAATCGATACACAGGCGTGGCTAAGGTACGGAATTATCCTGTGAGGTAACAGTAAGGATGCATCCAGCACCTTCATCTTACAGAAAAAAACTTATTCGCGTTATGTGTAACGTAAAAAGAACTGAAAGTTGTCGACCGCATTTTAAAAAACTTAATCTTCTTACCCTAATTTGTATTTATGTATTGCAATTGTGCAAATTTGTGCGGAAAAAACCTAAGTTACTATGTAAATGAAAAACTAAAAATATGGCTTATAGTTTTGGACATGAAAATAGATTAGGTAATACTACCAACCTCCAAAATGAAGCCATTCTCTTCAGGCACTTACGTAATGTCCATAAATGTCTATAATAAACTGCCAAACTAAAATAAAAACAAATGATACTATTTTTATGAGACAGTTAAAAGTGTTTCTAATTAATAAATGATATTACACTCTATATGAATACCTGAGTGATAAATGTAATTAAAATAATGAATAATATAATAATAATGAATGATATAGTAATAATAATGAATAATAAAACGTTTTTGCGTCCTCCTCTATTCTAATTTGCTATACCCGACGGGGTTCATATTGTAATAATTTAATATTTATTAATTTGTACATTATGGAATGCAAATAAGTATTGAGTATTGAGTACGAAAAATATCCTAATTTAACCGCAACCTAATCTTACAAATATCTGGTGATTTATCCACCATATTACAAAATCTATTGACAATATTTAAGGCCAATAAAGATAGGAATCTATTTATAATGATCATTATATTACGCCAAAGAAAAGAAAGATTGAAAAGCAAACGTGTATTTATGTGTATAACAAAAAGCTCAATAACAGCGTGAAGTTCAATTTTTCCATTTTGATAAGATACCACAAACAAATAAATTCTTTAAAAAAGAAAAACAAAGAAAAAAAAACTTTTGCATCTATATACAAATGGAAAAATTCGGCAGTAATTACCAGGCTGCGAATTCCATTTTGCGGAAATTTTATCTAAAATAGCGTTTTCATTAATTAGATCCGACATTTAATAGCTGTTAATGATTATGTAGGATGTCACAATTGTTGCGACTGGCCAACACCGGGTGTGTTTAAGGTCGCGATGATAATTCATGTTAATTATTTTTAATCCGTGAAATGAGCGATCCTGTTGTGGAATTCGTTATTGAATGCGAGGCTGTTGTATAATATTAATTTTATTGCATAATGTCCTTTTATTTAAAGTTTTATCAGTTGTAATTTATAAGCTTAAATAACCGCAATCCACTGCACTTAGTTGTAGCTGGATAAATTATTATTCATCTTGGATCATTTAGTCACTTTCCATCTATATTCAATTAAGAATCCATATGCGCACGCGTTAATCTCTGGCGACTCGCTTCGAATGCTTGCGAACAAGTAAAAGTTATGCGGATTTGCTTACACTCAAGGTGAGTTGTATCCTTAAGGCGAGTCTCTAGCATTAATTACTAAGAAAAATTGGTGTTGAATAATCCATCGTTCATTTAGTTTGGTGAAAAATAATAGAAAGATCTTATGGCTTTGGATAGATGGCGGTAAAATCATCTCATTTGCGACCGGCCGAATACTCAGACCGGCGACGTAGAGCAGCATCGAAGGTGTGAGATATTACTTACTGGTATCGTTTATTCGACTGCTAAGCATGACGATTAATATCTCGATAAACTAAGTCCTTTATACATGGCAGAGGCCTACGACCTTCAGTAGACTATTATGGGCTTATGACGAAGATGAACTTACACCAGATTGATGTACACGGTGACCATTTGGCATTCTTCTGACATCTGATTTGATCATCTTCTGGCATTCCCCATAGGTTACCTTCTACGCCACTCACGGGGCGAAATACGGTAGTATAATTAACTTTATTCTTACTAATAAAGAAGCTGCCTTAAGTAACGACAAAAAATTTAATGTGGCGGTGAAACTTTCCAATTAAATAATTACTACGCGTATTTCCCTGAAATGAAGTAGTGAATTTTACCTTTTTTAAAGTCTTTTTTAAAAGGCCGGGAACGCATCTACAACACCCCTGGTGGTGCAGTTGTTCGTGGATGGCGGTCGACACTTACCAACAGGTGAGTCGCATGCTCGCATGCTCCCACTTTAATAAGTTCGTTTTAGCGGTGAGTATTAGGATTAACGAGGTTATCATTATAACCGAAACCAACAGGGAGGTCGTCATCATTATTATCATCCAAAGTAATTCAAGCTTAATGCCGAGTCATAAATATGAAAAAAGTTACAATTTATCAAGAGCCAAAAATATTGTTTTGCATAAATAATTACATTTTTTAGATTATCTTGAACCAACAATTTGGTATAAGGACTACTACATAAGACTTGCATATTTAAATACAACCAGTTTTCACAAAATCAGAAGTAAGATGTCAAAAATATCAATAACAATATGAGTGATAATCATTTAAACAAGATTTAAATGATTATAACGTATTTAAATAAGCGTCACTTGTTAAGTTATGAAATATATAATATGAAACATTCTTAAAATAATTATAAGCACGCCTACGACAGCTACGCCGTCGTAGTAGTGACTCTACATGTATCAATCGCTTCGAGACTACGACTCAAAAGAATGTAGCGCTGTAGCGCTACGCACAGACGAAACAACTGTATATTTTCAAAAAAGATTATTCAGGTAAAAATATGTAGTGTGTTTAATTTTGTGTAGTGTTCGATTGTTTGCGTTTTTATTTAGAGGCTAAGGCAAGCATAAATATACACAATTTTTACGAAAATGAGTATCAGTATAATGTATTTTAGTTAGGTATATCCTATTAATATATACTTGATATCGACTTTTTATAATTATTTAAATTTTAATGATAAGTATAAGCGAACTTCAAGGAAGTACTTAAGGGGTAGTCCCATTAAAATTATAAAAAATAATTCCAGCTCGAAGGGTGGAAAAATAGGTGACGAAGTCTTTCATTATATCTTAGCACCGACTTCTGAAGCTATTAAGCGCAAATTATTTAAATTTTTTAGCTCTTTTAGGCCGACTTTTCCTTTTCTTAAAAAACCAATTGTATGATCCTTTTGAGTAGACTCAGGAATATTAACGTGGTAGAGCCATGCTGCAGCTATGTATGTAGAACGAATGGGTCGACTCAACCGAAGAACAACCACGCTCTCACATAATACCAGCGTAAAATAGCAGCTAAATGCTGCTGTGTTTCGTATGGGGAGTGTAGAGAACCGGAGAACCTTTTCGATGGAAACGAGCATTCCACCTTAATAGTCCTCCTGCGTGACAAGACATCTGCGTGCAAATAAATGTAGATGTCTATGGGCCAGAGTATCCACTTACCATCAGGATTGCGTACTCGTTTGTCACTATTATTCTACAAAAATGTTTGAATGTCGTCTAAATACACTAAAAACTTTATCACCTATTTTCCTATCATTAGAGGTGGATTTATTTTTCTTAATTTATACAGGACCACACTCGAACAGTAAAATAATAGTACTACGTACAGAAGTTGCACTTCGTTTTTCTTCTTACAAAAAACTATTTACTTACGTAAATAGTTTTTTGTACAGTTTAAAAAACTTTAATATTCAATCGCTTACAGCGCGCTAGCTCCGTTTGCGTATGAAGCCAGGGGCGCCTCGCCATTGTAGGTAATTATTTCACGTAAGTAGTAAGAGTGACAGAGGTCTGCCTGAAGTAGTGTATATTTAATTCATTAAAAAAAGAGTCATTATAATTGGTTCCAAATTGACGAAGATATCGAGTAAAATACAAACGAAAAAAAAGAACGTACACTCGTATTGAGATCATCCTCCTATTTATAGTTTGTTAAAAATAAAATATAAACCACCTGCAAGCGTTATAAAAAAACCTGATAAATCTTTAATTATTGAAATCTTATAATTTTTTTATACAAAATAAGTTTAATTGTATATGGAAAATTTAAAAAGCACTTAATAAACGAAGAAGGGGAAAATCTAAAATTATGGATAAAATTTGCTCATTATTCTCATTATAATGAGTAACACATAATAAGCGAGTCATGAGAACAGATCACTTCCAAAGCGACGCAACTAGGCTACTACTACGTAGGGCGTTTGAGTCGAGAGGTTCATTCAGGACATGAAACGCCGCCGGAAGCCTCGCAGATCAATCGTCACGACCCTCCCCACTCCCCGCAGCCCTTTGTAGACCCACAACAGGATCCTAGGAAGTCCAGACAGAGTGACTCGTCAGTCAGCTCCCGGCGGCCGTGAGAGACGCACGTTCCGTCACTGCTGTGACTCGATGCAACGATCTCAGTGATGCTGTTGTGTTTGCCACCTGAAAACGATTGAGTGCTAATCAGTCTTGTTTTACGAAGTTCGGTGAGTGTATTAACAGCAGTATTCATATATAAATTTGTATTTTCAGCGATATTACATTGTTTAATTTAATGCCACCTGTTGATCTTAGAATCAACAGATTATCAACATAACAAGAGCATTTTAGTTCTTTGAAAGTAATACAACTGCCTATGACTAGTTACCGTTTATTGACGGTATTAAAGATGTAATTGCAAGCGACAGATTAGAGAAATCTGATTTGAGGGAAAGAATATTAAGGCCCTGCCCATAATTTTTCTTTAAGGGGTAATGAAAAAAATATTATAAAGTAATTAGCATCTTATTTTTAAACGTTAATTGTATGCTAAAATTTCTCAAGCATTTATGACATATAAACTATTTAACGACTTTTAACCACAAAAGTTAAAAAAATATCCGCTTACGGTATACAGCATTAGTCGTATTATGATTTTAAAATAATTATTCACTTTACCATATTTGAGTTGAATAAATAACAGAGTGTGAACTTACACATATCATGCATGATAAACTCTACTTTTTTATGTATCAGGACGTTCAACGAGAATATTTCTGGTCCTACTGTTTGATGTTTTCTTTTAATGATAAAACGTGATGGATCTGAATCTAAATTAGGAAATTTATGTACACCTTTTATTTTATTTTTAAAACATTACTAATGCAACAACAAAAATCTAAATTTGTTTAATACATGTATTTATTTATGTTTTTGAAATGAATCATCAATTAAATGGAGAATTTTAATTATCCAACAATCTGCATATTCTAATTTTAAAACAGTACACAACGAAATTATTGTGTATTATGTACGCTAAGTAACTTTTAAGTATCTTGAGTTAGGCTTACTTAAAAAATCAATTTGTAAAACGTAAATATTTGAATCAACAGATGTTTTACATTGTGTTCTTTTTATCTAGTTATTATTGTCAACTAAATGTTAATACTTAGATTCATGTTAATATACATGGCTTAAAGACATATAAATAAATTACACAAAATAATTGGTGTATTGTAACTTCTTTTAACATTTTTGGGATATCCACATAAATCTTTCGTCAACTTCGCCTTGACAGTGGGCGGAAACACTTGTTGGCACAAATTGCATTTGCAATGCTTTGTTGCGACCATTACTAATAAAGTTTTCTGCGTGTTAGGTAAAAGCTGTTGCTTCCGGTGGATTACGACATTTGAATGTTATTTATATGACGTTTTTTATATGACACTAGTGGCCTTAACTTAAATTTTTCGGTGTTTGTAGATGTAAGTCTATTGTTGAATATCGGCCTCCCTCAAGGAATGAAAAAGCAAGGAAAACAGAGAAAGTTTATTTTAATATATAATATAAAGCTATAAAATAAATCCCTGTTATTTTATATTCAAAATGGCACAAGGGAGATAAAAAGTGCCTTAGAACTGTTAAAAGTATATTTCTGATACAATTACATTAGGTCGGTACAATTTGGTTGCGTGCTGCTTAAGATATTCAATTTGAAATCGTCATAACGAACGTAAAAGTATACAATTTATATTTTAATTGAAGCGGAAGTATAGACTGTATACAATTACTATAAACTTATTATTTTTAGCTTGTAGTATAATAGATTATATACTATTTATCACACAGAATATGTATGTATATAAATTAAAGTTTATATTAACTGTCTGTAGCGAATACATTTAAAAAAACTTCTGACCATGCTATTTTCTTTTTGTTTTGCAAAGGGTTTATAATAAACGTATTCTCCATAAAGCTTTGTAAAAGCTTCAAATTATTGAAGTTTTACTTCACACGTCTAACACACACTGATACTAATTATATTAGTATAGATTTAATAAAAAAAACTCGGTTGATTATTTTCTATATAAAAATGTCTTACATAATATATTGCTATATAATTTGTATTAATGCAAATATGAATTTAACAATTTTTTTTGTGAGTCGGTTGTTTGACAAAACATGATGATAAAAATATCTTATTTTTAATTTTAATGAATAAATAACTACTAAAGCCACATATTAAGCTTAGATTTACTAAATGATAGTACTATGATATGGCGTCATTTGTTACCTATGAGTCGTCTGGAGAGGTATCATCATAGAATACTATAATACATACATACTAGAACGGTGGAGTGGGCGGAGCCCGTGTAGCCACTAAAATGTCACTAACATGTCAATTCACACGTATAAATATCAACACGAGATGTGTTTTGACGTAACAATCGTTTCCAAATTTAGCATACAAATTATTTAGAAAATAACAAATTGCACAATATTTACATATAAATATGTCTTAAAATTTAAACGATTTAATGATGATTTTGAACATTAATCAAAAGTTTAAGATGTGTAAATTTACTCAGACTGTCAAAACAGCGAATCGGGTTTGTATTAGTTATAATACGACGTAATTGTTAGTATGTGTGCTCTTGGCGACGCCGAATCTCGTACAAAATAAGTTTGACAGCCATTGTATTGTGTATTATAGTATTCTATTGGTATCATCCTCTTATGTATTCCTGCTGCCAAATAGTAGTGCTTGTACTGCTGTCAGAGGCAGTATAATTACAAGTTCTAATAGACTTCATCTTGGGCCTTAAAAGTGACAAAGCATATGTAAAATATGATTGTTCTTCTAATGTATACAATAAACCTTATACTTCACGTCGAGTTGCGCCGATACCACAACCAATCAGATACGTCAAGCGATGGAGTATTTCATCCCCTTTGCTGACGTGCCCATTAGTGGTAAAGCTCTCACATGTTTCAACGCCGAGTGCGCTCGTGCTGAAAATCAAAAGCATATGGCGTACTTATCTTGGGTCGATGCTCGAGACCGCAAAGCTCCGGATGCTAGCCTTAGAGCCTTTAAACAAGCCGCCAAGTATTGCAAAACAGTGTACACTGACCGCCTTCAGTTGTTAGGGGTTGAATTTTCTCCGAATCTCAACTATGGGTGGTTCATTGAGTCCAGAGCCAAAGCAGCCGCAAGGAAACCTGGTGTTCTTGGGTGGCGGTACACACCGGGACCTTCATCTTGGGCCTTAAAAGTGACAAAGCATATGTAGCCTTCTTTGTCGGCTGCAGGTTCCCCTGGACTGTAAGAGCCACTTACCATCAAGTAGTTTGTAAAGTTAATATTATATGATATGCATAGGTACATACAGGCCAAGCTAATGAAAATTTTAAGCGTGATAGATTCATACCGCAGCTATATTATTGTTGTAACATATGCTAATGGGTCGGCTCGATCGAGGAAGAATCACGCTCACGGAATACCAGCGTAAAATAGCAACTGAATTTTGCTGTGTTTTGTATGGTAAGTGTAGGGAACCGAAGACACTTTTTACTGGAAACGTGGCTTGATTTTTAACATAGGATAGATGTAGATGTTTGTAGGCCACAGCATAAACTTACCATCAGGTGGACTGTTCTCTCGTTTGTCACCATTATTCTTTGAAAAAAATAAATAATTGAAAACGATCATTTATCTAATAACAGTATTTAATTATCGTTCAGATTTTCTTAATTGCACTGAACTTAGTTCTTTACTCACATAGAATATAGTTAGTACGTCCTAATGTTATACAGAGAAGACTATAACATGACATATTATAAATTACTGTATAAATCAATTATTGTGGTTATCGATGCATCCCATCAGTTTCGAAGATAACAGAAACAGCCTTTATACTATGAATCTATAATCCTCCATAGTTGATATGACTTACTTGCCACGAGTTGTTATGAGTTAATAACGTCTTACCGTGTCGGGGCTGTGTAATGGCCAAATACTTATACTACTACTCGTAGCTCCTCAATTTCAAGATGTCGTAACTCTCGTAGTGTCACAGTCACTTTGACTTAAAGTGATGGAGACGGCACGAGACCTAGCGACATCTTAAATTGAGTAGTGTTTGAGTATTTGGGCATTAATCATTAAAACGCTATTTAATTTTCAAATGTCGTTAATTCTCGTGGTGTCACAGTCACTTTGACTTAAAGTGATAGAGACGGCACGAGACTTAATAGGAAATTGAGTAGCGTTTGAGTACTTGGCCATAAAAGATTCCAACACTCAATTTTATGGATGTCGTAAAGAGTTGACTGTATATTATAAATACCAGAAGTATTTCATGTCTTCTGAAAGATGACTGATAAACCAAACTAAAATTTTTAAAATCAGAAATTTAAACCAAAATCAAAAATTTTTACATGGTAGAGTCACGCTGCAGCTATATTATAGTAGTAGCACGAGTGGGTCGGCTCTACCGGGGCAGGACCACAGAATACCAGCGTAAAATAGCAGCGTAATGCTGCTGTGTTTCGTATAATGAGTGTAGAGAACCGGAGATTCTTTTTACTGGAATCGAGGCATTCCATCTTATACTTCAGGGGTGACAATGCATTTGCATTTTGATTTTTAATCGAGGATAAATGTAGATGTCTATGGGCCACAGCATTCACTTACAGTCAGGATGACTGTGTGCTCGTTTGTCACCAAAAAAAAAACCCAATTAGAGTGTCCAGATCGGTGACATTGGGCAATTTCAACGGGAGAGGTATATTATTCAGCTGTGGAGTTTTATGTGCTGATGAAAATAGTCTTGTAATTACTTTAAAGTTAACTTTGTAAGTATTTTATAAAACTATCTAAGCGAATGCACCACCACACATAACTTCACAGGTGTGGTGAGAGGCGATAGAGGGAAGCTAAAACTGAAAAGAGGCGGCTGCATCATCCTGTTAACATCCAAAAAAATATGTGGTATCAACCCGCTTTCCAAGCGTGGCAACTATGGCAAATATCTCTCCTCTATAAGGCAATATATGGGGGGAGTCCTATTCAAATTTAAACAAAAGTTCAATTTAGACTTGGTCAAAAATCTAATGAACGTCAAAATCTAAACCGGTTCGCAAGACAAAACATTTTCAGAGAAAGCCGCTATAAAGCTCGAGGTCTTTGCTTTTCTTTCTCTTTGTAACAATTTCGTTTACAGTG